AATTGGAAAATTATGCTTCTTGGCAGTCCAGCAGCAGCATTTACATCGAATGCTTACTAGGAAATTAGTTTTTGCTGAAAATTTGTTTTATTCAAAGTGCATGCTACATTTGCAGGGGTCAAGAGGTTTTCCTATTTCCAGGGTTTATTTTATACCTTGATTTGTAGCATATGGTAGATCTCACAATGTACTCTCAGCTTACGTGTAATTAGTAATGAGTTGTCTGCTTTCTTACCTTCAGCTGGCGTGGGGTATCACATCATGCAATGCTTTTCTTTCAGTGCAGAGTGGTTTTTCAACTACATCAAAAATTCCACTAGCATCATCACCTAAGAAAATATAGGGAAAAAGTTAACAAGCTTATCTTCTTTTTCGTCTCATGCGCTCCCTGGATTTTCTCTTAGCATTTATTTCAAAGGTGATTTGACTTATAAATCCATATACTGTTTATACCTGTAACATGTCCTGGAAATATGATCTTTTCTAGGAGAAACCTATATAATTAGGTGAACAACTAATTAGATAATTAAGTAATTCTAGAAAAGCTTACAAGTTTTTTCAAATATAATAAAAAAAATTACTATCATTAAGACATGAATATGAACCTGAAATTAGCTACAGTGAAATTTTAGTTTTCTGGGGACAGAAATGGAGCTTTTGGTAGTGGAAGAGGCCTATTCCTATGGATTTGTGGATTAACTATCCCCCCTGACATTGCCTATCCCTCCCATTCCCAAAAGAGACTATGTTGTCACCTGCCTTAGAGTCTCTGCATATGTGTAAGTGCTCTAATGTAGACTCTTTTTTTCTTACCCTCTTTTGCTAGATAGCTTGTATTCATATTGCAAATCTTAGCTCAACTATCAATACATTGAGACTCCAGAATCATAGATCTGTCTGTGTATTTTGAACTTGCATTACACTGTAATTTTACATTGATTTGTGGTAGTCATTTGATTAATGGCTGTCTTTCAACTGTAAGCTCCATGAACGTAAGGACTGTTTTTTTCCCTCACTATTGTATCCTCAGCGACTAAAGTATAGCCATTGCCTAATGAATAGTTTTGGAATGAATGATCCTATTTAAAAAGATAGTGCTTCTGAGGAAGAGCTAAAATTCTTATGACTTAGGGAAATGTCTCCCTCTTCTTAACCCCCTGCTTAAGCTGTAGGAATAGGCCTCTTGCACTGTTAAAAGCTCCGTTTTCAAATATTGCTGTGACCAGCGGCATAGAAAAAGGACTTGCTTTCTGGAAAGACTGGGAATTACACTGCTTCACTTTGAGGGGGACGTTTGAAGGGCAATAGGGATAAGCGAAGTGAAGAAAATGAAGATTTGACTCTGCTTTGTCCCAATTCTAGTCTGTTCTTTTTGAGGGAAGGGGGACAAAGGAGAGTTTAGGAAAACAATACAAAGAAAGACTAACAAACTAATTTAGCAGATAATAAAGTAGAAAGCTATTTTTATTCAAAGGGTTATTAGTGTTCCTAAGAATTTATTCACAGATTATTAATGTTTGTAATGTTTGTAAGTTGTTTTATACTTACACTCTGAGGAATTAGAAGCATGTTTCTAAATGTATCTAAATAATAGATGCAATTTTACTGATAAATATACTGAAAAATAATCTGTCAAGTGCTATTTTACCACAACTAGACTAATGCTACTTGGATTTTTTTGGACGTTCCTCTCCTGTCCCCTTTATCATAGTTAATCAGTAAAAAACTATATTCTAACCATTAGCAGTGAAAATTGGTGGGGACAAGAATTGGTTTGATGTAAGTGAAACTTCCCTTTGGAATTTCCTTTTTTATACTTTTTTAATGTCTGGGAATAATCAATTGCATTTTAATAAGAAGTTATAGAATATTCTAATTAGTTGCACTTTTATTATTAAACATTTAATTCTTGTGAAAGAAACTGGAGTTGGGAATAACAGCCATGTTATTTGACCTTTTCAGTGATGGTCCTATTTATAATGGAGCGTTTAGAGCTATAGTTGTACATTATAACAACTGCATCTTGAGAGTCATTATGTTCTGCCAAAAAATACACAAATTATAAGTGTGTAGCCCAGTGAATTTTCACAAAATGAACACATTCAGGTAACCATCGATGATATCAGGAAGCAACATGACCCCTTTTCCAGAAGTCCCTGTGATGCCTCGTTGCAGTACTAAATATCCCTCCAAAGATAGTCACAGTCTAGATTTATATGATAGATTAGTGTCATTGTACTCCTTTCTATCTGATTTATATTTTTTATGTTGAGACTTAGCTATGTCAGTCTATATAGTTATAGTTCATTGATTTCCATGGTCTAATAGTATTTCCTTAAATGAGTGTTCCACTACTTACTAAGCTACTTTTTGTGATGGACACTAGGTTGTTTCCGTTCTTTAGCTCTTATGGTTAGTACTGCCACAAACGTTCTTGTAAAAGTCTTCATGAACATACACACACATGTCTGTAAAGTATGTATTACTTAGGAATGGAATTGCCGGGTTGTAGATTATGGGTATATCCTGCCTTAGTAGATATTTCTAAACAAGGTTCCAGAGTGATTGCATCAGTCTCCATTCCCATTAGCAATAGCAAGAGTACCGGTCACTCCACATCCTTGGCAGGACTGAAAAATTTCCTGCCTCCTGCGTTCTAAGGTTGTGTACACATGGTATGTGCCATGTGATTTTTTTTAACCTTTATTAAATAACTTCTCTAAATTTTTTTTTCTTTTTTTGCGGTACATGGGCCTCTCACTGCTGTGGCCTCTCCCGTTGCAGAGCACAGGCTCCGGACGTGCAGGCTCAGCGGCCATGGCTCACGGGCCCAGCTGCTCCGCAGCATGTGGGATCTTCCTGGACCGGGGCACGAACCCGCGTCCCCTGCATCGGCAGGCGGACTCTCAACCACTGCGCCACCAGGGAAGCCCCTCTACATTTGTAAACGTAACTTGTTTCATATATATATATATCCCTGACTTGGGTTTACATCCTAGAGAGCAGAGGTCATGTATAACACACTTGTGTAACCGCGAGTGAATCTAGTATGGTGGCAAGCGTTCAATGAACTTTTGTTAAGATGAATCTTGACTCATCATATTGCTCCATTAAAAGACAATAGATAGGGTGAGAGAGAAAAAGCACTAGAAGAGGAACAATATAAATACAGTCTACTGAGAAAGACAAAAATTAAGTACAGGATCCTTAGTTTTTGCTACATTTTATTTTTCATTTATGTATTCATCCAGTCAGTTTCCTGTTGGTGCTGAAAAACAAAATCAATGGTTCCTACCGTCTGCATGTTTATTGCTTCCCTTTTCACTCTACAGTGTAAAATATAATTAAAA